AGAGTTTCTCATTAACAAAATTACTTTTCGAGTTGATTCTGATGGATACTGAATATGTATGATTGTGGTAACTAGAATTAGCTCTTAGAGTTTCTCATGAAAAGAATTACTTTTCGAAATGATTCTGATTCTGATTCTGATGCATACTGAATATGTATGATTCTGGTAACGAGAATCAGCTCTTAGAGTTTCTCATGAAATGAATTACTTTTTGAAATGATTCTAATCACCAGAATAAAAATCAAATATTTGGTCGACGGTTTCCGAATGATTCCAAAAGAAAAAACTGAAAGACGAGTATACGAGTAGATCCGGTTAATTGGTGTTCGATTATTTCATATTATGTACGCTGATCTAGCGCAGTTTGTTTTCGAAACATATCCTGTTCATGTACTTGAATTTATCAAGGTACAATCTTTACTAAAAAGATGTGGTACCTTTTTATGACTCTTAAAAATCAAGAATCAGCTGAAATTAATATTAGAAAGTCAATCAAGAAATAGTACGTACAAGGGCAAATACTTACATAGAAAGAAACATATAATTAGTGTGCCAAACTATACTTTGATTATCTTAGAAATAGTTATGACTAGAAGCTTTATTTTTCTAGTACTCGTACTCAACACGCAGTCATACGTCTATGCTGTTCTAGTGTTCCGACTATTTTCTATAAATTAATGTTATTCTTAGACGATTGTGAAGCAAATTTATCATAACAAATGATTTTCTGGTCCGCAGAATGGACAAAACACATGCAATCTTCGAATTCATTCTATAGACTAAACAAACTTTCATTCCAACAGAAACGAATTTTTTCTTTAGAATACTTTTTTTCTTATGTCCCACATAAACAATATGTAGTGTCTTCCGTCAACATATAAACTATAGTAGAAAAAGAAACAGAAAAATGAATTTCAGAGGTATATATGATTAAATATAGAAAAGGAATAGAAGACGATTCTGGTAACCAGAACGTACTTAGCTATACTATGGTTAGCGCCAAAGTATCTAGTTTCAATGTTAAAAGATTTTCGGCAGAAAATGGTGTTGAATTATGATCTATAAGCCGTGTCATATATTAAAAGAAATCCCTAAATTGAAAAATCCCTATTTGGTCACCAGAATGGTCATATCTGTTTTATTCTCTATAAGTGTGGATATGATGTAGCGATGTATCTGGGGATATGAAGTTGTGGTAAATGATAGTCATTCCGTTTCACATGTCTGTATAAATCTTATATTTTTGTACCTTTAGTTCAATATCAAACAAATAATGTAAGTATAAAAATATTTTATAAATAGCTATTTCTTTTTTTTCTATTTAGATTCGTCGAAATTATACGTGGGAAAGAGCTATGAAGATCGATTTCTGACATATGGGACAACCCAGTCAGACAAGCGCCTTTAAAAAACGAGTTACAGCGAATACATATTTTGACGCTTTCATGTTGTAAGACGTTAAAACATCTTAAATTTCTTAAAAACGCCGTATTTATGATTTCATGCATTNCAAAACCTTAATTTTAATCTGGTAGATATAAGTAATAAACCCTTTGGAAGGGTTTATGAAAGTGCAACGTATCATAAACACTTTAAGGGTATATGAAAGGGTTTATGACAATTTTGACATACGGTAAAACGGGTTTAGCCTACGTTGCACTTTCATAAACCCTTAAAAGGTTTATTATGCTACCTTCTTTTTACAGTGTAATTAAGTGTAGTGGATTTCATTTTACTACTATAGAAACATTTTTGGAAGAAATAGGAAAAGTTCCAGCTAGAACCAGATTTTTCTTGAACCTTAAATGGTTTTGAAAATGGTACCCAAATCTAGAACCCTAAAAGGTTCAGTATGACACCTTTTTTTCTTACTGATTATTCGATTAAGACTTCATAAAAACTAAAGTGTAGCTGGTGCAAACTATGTTAAAACTTTTCATTGGTGATAGAGAGAAAAACTAAAGTCTTATGATAATAATCAAATTTGAATCCTGTATTTTTACATGAACAGACATAATTTTCCCAAAAACGTGAGTCTACGCTAGACTGAAATCATTCCGGCGTCTCTGTATCAGTGTGCTCGGGCGTTATTAAAAATAACTATTAAAAGTGGATATCATCGCACTAGTACTACTATAAAGTAAAAGTGAAAAAATTAATTCAATACATTTTTGAAGTACCAAGAAGTACGAAGAAGTACAAGAAGTACAGACGTCCGCTTGTTCCCGCTTGAATTTTATGCAGCCTTCTAATCCTATTGATTAGTGTCGTTCAGC